ATTTTCTAAATAAACCGCCAATGAACTTAGTATGTATATGATGACAAACAGTTACACATTTTAATTTTACATAATATATGTAATATATATTGGTTATATCTATGTAATCATATATATATTGAATATATTTAATAGGTGACATTACGTAGTTATTAATGAAATTTTTAAATTAAATGATGAATTTGATTTATAAATTAAATTGAAATATCGAGTATCCATGCACAGTGTGTTTTATTACATAATCGTATATCACCCATAATTTTATAATGAATGTCTATATTTAACATATAAAATCTAAATAAGATAGATTAAAAATAAGATAAAAATTATAATCAATATTTAATATTAAAAAATAAAAATGAGTATAAACAATAAGTAAAAAATGACATAAAAAATTGAACAAATATGAATAATGAGTATTGTTAACATGCAACACGCGTTATAAAAAGACTAATAATTTATAAAAGATGAGAGTATAAAGCTATATATAATTTTTGATGCATGAAATCCACAGGTACATGAAATTGAATATAATTAATAAAGTGATAATTGACTCTGAGATACATTGGTCTAGTATTTAAAGCTAACTAAACTCTACTCTAATGATCACATGATCAAGTCGGTGTCTTGAAAAGGGCTTTAATCATCGCTCCCGAGCTAAAAAATGATTAATCTCTTATCCATCACATGATCAAGTCTGCGTCTTGAAAAGAGCTTTAACATCGAGCTAAAAAATGATTAATCTCTAAATGCCAATTGTTCATATAAGAATTGCATACGGAGCACTAAAATTATGTTAACTATGAACTACTATTTAAATTATCAAAATTTTCTTTTTTTGATTATTTGGAAAAACGGGATCTAAACCTGAACAATTGTCCGCTTATATATGCACTCACCACTAGACTATGCTTTGATACGTGCAAATTATAATTAATTAAGTAAAAACGAATTTTTAAGGAAAAAACAATAAGAATAAGATTACTAGAATTCTACCTTTTAATTTTATCGACTTGACCATGAACTTAAATATTGATGGCCAACTTAGTTTTGGAGCGTGGCAATGTACACATGGAGCATACGTGGCACACTCAATTTGCAGAAAATGCTTTCATGCCTTTGCAACGATAATAATATAGAAATTTTTTCTTTAATTTTTACCTTCCAAAAAATAATATATTTTCATTTATCATCCATTACAAAATAATAAATAAATAATATATATATATATATATATAATATCATTTTAGTCATCCCATGTACAAAACTACGCAATACATAAATAAAATAATACTAGTGTTATACCTTATTAATTCCTATATATATATTTCTGGAAACAAACAGCTATATTATTAAAATTTCTCAGCATAATACTTATAACCACCTTCTCTCCATATTACTAGGCTCCACAATACTTTACTGTCACTCAGAACTTGGCTAGCGAACATCATCTCAAACTTTCATAGTGCTCGGTAAATGTTCCTCCGTATTTAATCTGTTCTTCAGCCCTTCATATTGGGTGCTCCCTGCAAGCTTATCATGTTTTGAAATCCTGTATCCATACGATTGTTTTTAATTATTTAATAAGTTCGTTCTTTATAAAGAATCAGTTTGGCTTGGTTTCTTAGTCATATGAACCTATCCAAAAATATTATCATCTGCTTCTGTATGCATCTAAGGGAGCAAAAGTATTTACTCCAAATTGTTATTTCTCACGTAGATTAACATGAACCTAAACTGAACCAAAACCAAATCACAAACCAAACTACACTTATCTATCTCAAACTAAAACAAACTGAATATATATTTCTTGGAAACAAAAGCTAATATTTTAAATTTCTCAGCATAATATAACACCTTTCTCCAATTACTAGGCTCCACATATACATTATACGTCACTCAGAATTGGCTACGAACATCATCAAACTTTCAAGTGTGTAAATGTCGTATTTAATGTTCTGTAGCCCTTCAAATATTGGTGCTCCCTCAAGCTTTCATGTTTGAAATCCTGATCATACGATTGTTTAATTATTTAATAAGTTCGTTCTTATAAGAATCAGTTTGGCTTGGTTCTTAGATGAACCTATCCAAATATTATCATCTGCTGTATCATCTAAGGGGCAAAGTATTATCCAAGATGTTATTCTTAGATGAACCTAACTGAACCAAACAAATCAAAAACCAAACTACACTTTTCTATCTCAAACTAAAATCAAACTGTATAAAATTGAACCAAATCGAATTGATATGATTTTGTTAGTTCAATTGATTCAGTGATTTTTTTTTTATTACAAATTCAGCTTATGTTTTATAACTTAACCAAAAATCAAAAACCAAAATTGCCTAAAATTGTAAAACCAAACCAAACCTATCAAACCAAATAACTGAATTAAAAAGCTAAACTAAATCAATTCAATTTTAACCGAGGTGGATGCTCACCTATAGAGGGGTGGTTGTCACAGGTTTAGTCCTCCAAGAGTATGTTCGGCAAAATTAACTATTTTGGTAATTGTTAGATGTTTTAATAGCATTAGCTATTTTAATACATTTAACTGTTTTAATAATTTTTCGTAAAACTTTAAAAGCTAAACATTACAGAATTAACTTTTTATAGAATGCTAACTTAATTTCTAAAGGCTAATTCGAATTTTATATTACCAAACACTATAAAACATAAATAATGTTTAATATTTTAACTAGTCAAAACACTAAAAATTAATTAAAAAACTGTCGTCCAACACAACTAAATATTATGAATAGTTTTCCTCGCTGGGGTCGCCACTCTTGTTCTCTCGCCACTCTTGTTCTCTCAAGTTAGAGGTACAGCAAATTGGGGCATACGGATAGGCAAATACTAGCATTGTCTCCGTAGTCGAAGAACCTAATGCAACAAGATGTAATCTCTCTTTCCTCGAACAACTCTTATTCTCTTTCTCAAAAAAGTTAAAAAGAAAAGAAAGAAAGGCTGAAGCAAAATTTTACTTTTGTAATTCTATACATTAAACCAGCTATTTCTACACAAAATAAAGTTTTGTAAGCACTTACCACATAATATCGTTTTGCAGACAAGCAAATCCCATTGGTTCGGGAAGAAATGAAGGTGTTTCACTGTTAGTCTCATCTCACTCATTTCCCCATGTGAGTTAGTATTCTACTGATCAAGGCTTCCTTCTTACCAGCAACCGGAAGGCTGTTCGCTGTCAAGTAAATCTTCAAATCCGCTACTGTCAAGTCTTTCAACTGCAAAACATATAAATCCACACGAGGGAGCAATTCTCATTAATGCTACAAATTCAATAACCTGAAACCAAACAATATCTTAAAAAGCCGTTAGGCCCTAGGTATGAACTGTTGCTTAGTATCCATTACTTCCATGCAATATATCAAAAGCTTCCAACTTCATCCAATTGGATGGATAGAGGGACCTGAATTTAGACATTTGAATTTCGTAATATATAGATTTACTCCATCTATTGCATTCATGAATCTTAGACTTATGAAGACAAATAGAGTATGATTCTTTTTGGTGCATGCAAAATAACTTTTGAAGGGGAACCATATAGGTTTAAACTCTTCATCTCCTACACTACAAGGCAAGCACTTGACCACAAATAAACATGTAATTTCAAATCTTCCTCAAATAAGGTGACATCAATAATCATTCTCAATAGCACTTGTCAATTTAGTGTCATGCACAAATCCTCATTGAAAATTTTTACTCAAACACAAGCAATCAGAAATTTTAAATGAGGAAATACAGAATTACCAATAATTGGCCTACAAAAATTTCATTCCTTTCAAAGAACAGCTAGAATAGAAAATTGCACAACCTAATTCATCTGTGCAAAACTAATAATGGGTATAAGGAAAATTTCAAAATGCCCTTCAGCACCCCTATCCATTCTCCCCCCTTTACAGGATAAATTTAAACTTAATCCCTTTGTTTAAAACATCACAACTCAAACCTGGAACACTTTAACTGGAACTTTAGCAAAAGTTTCCATTTTATGATTTCTCTCAATTGTTTCTTGTTGTTTTTTGTTAAATTGACTTTAGGCAAATTACTTGTATAATAACTTTAAATTAAGAAGGGCTTCAATTCAAATAGTAGCATGTAACAAACTTCAAGATAAATTTTAAGCTTAAGATCGAATTGTTCTAACTTCAATTCATATATCAGTATTTATTTTCTGAAGAAATTGAACATATGGACTTCTAATCATGATAGCTTTTTCTTAAAAACCTTATTACAATATTTTCCAAAGAAATTACTGTGAATATCAGGGAAAAAAAAAATTCTGTAAGGTTCAAAATCTAAGCTTCTAAATTATTCAATGTTAAATTCTTAATTTTTATTTTTTTTTAAGTTAACTCGGAAACAAAAGGAACTATAACTTTAGACAACTTTGAAAAAATAAAAATTAGTAATAGTGAAACAACAAAGCATACCTTTCCATTGTCAGCAAGTTCAGCCCAGTCATACTTTGCATACTCATTCCCAGCATTTTCAGCTGCTGCTTTCCTTTTTCTAGAGGCCTCATTTCCTTTGCCATTGCCAGCAAAGTTGCATTCCTCATCATAGTTATCACCATAAACAGAAAGTTTGAATTCTTCTATTGCCTTAACAACTCCTGGTCTGGCCATACATGTAAAAGTTGACAAACCAATACATTAACAAAATTGAGATAATCAGCATAAACAGACATATGATACAACAATGGTTGATTTAACCAAGAATGGTTAGCAAAACCTCTATTGTAATTACCTTGTCATTCCTTCCTCATCAGGAAGTGTTTCATCTTTGCTTTCTGGCATCTCATCTTCTCCTAGAGCAAGTGCTTGCAACATTGCATAGTGTCTCTGCAATGCTGTAAGAAATTATTTTGTTAAATACAGTGAAACAAAGGCAACTTGCACAGTAAGAGTCCTGTGCAATCCTGAGAATAAAGGCATGCTAAGGAACAAGTGGTAACGGAATTGAAATAAAACCCTCAAAAATATGTAGCCATCAAAATATACATACACTTCGTGTCAGCATCATTTTATATATGATTCATAGCTGTTATATATAAGATTTTGAACAAAGTCATTGCAGCAATTTAACATTATGGTAACATATTCCTCTATATAGATAAGGATATGTATAAAATTGCTTTCTCTGCGGCACCATTTTAAGTGCTATTTTCCAGTGAGATGGCATAAATGCCTGGCTACCATGCACACGCAGAGAGTCTCAAGTTGTAAGAATGGTACAGTCCATGTTAGGGCCACAGTTGAGGAAATACCACTCATTATTTAGCAATTTTTCTGTTTGTCTTTTACCTAACTGGAGACATACTAGCAAGTGGATTAACTGGCATGAGTGCTTTGATAATATCATTCATCCAAAGAAAAGCTCACATACAAACTTTGACATTCAGAAGCAACCATGGAGTCAACTGTAAATTATGGCAACTCACCGGGGTTAGCAAATTGGCATACTGAAAAATCTCTCAAGTCAATTCGTTTAATTAAAGCAGCAGCCTTCTTAATTTGCTCATCAGTTGCACGAGGTACCTCACTAGACTCTGAATGAAACTGGAATGGGTCACCCATGTCATTGGTAATAATAGTAAATAGTTTACATAATACATTTGAAATAAATTTTATAATTGGTCTTACCTCTTCAATGTCTCTAACATCATCAGAATATGGAAGAAATATCATATGCATTCCTGGTGGCTCAACCTGACCACCAGCATTAAGAATCTCATCCTGCAAAGATTCAAAGAAATAAGATGCTTTATAAGATTCTACGGAACCCAGAACATAAAATAACAACTGAAGTCCACAGGACATTCCGGTTCAAAACATTGTGCACTCTATGAAAATGTTGCTTAAGACCTTGAATGCTCATTTGAAAAGGACATAGTGAGCACATGTTTCCTTCCATAGATAACTCAACCTTGAAAAAATGACAGGACACACCCATTGTAAGTGCAATATTTATGGAAACTACAAACAAGTATATCCAACCTTTCTCCCCAATGTTTTTTTGCCACTTCCATAATGTTGCGTTGTCTTCCATGCTGTACTTGAACTTTGAGTTAGCGTCCAGCTTCATTGACACTTTAAATTGAACATATTTTATTGAGGGAAAATAACAACAAATTTTCATTTTTTTTTTCACTTGGTCTGAAATTTTTTTTAACAAAAGAGGATTTGCGATTAATTCCAACCGTTAATTCATGCGAAGGTGGCAGTAACATGTCCAGTCTCAACAATTTAACAGATTTTATGGAGGGAAAAGAACAAAAAAGGTACAATGTGAGTTTCCAATGTTTTTTCTCTTAAGGTCTGAAATTTTTTTAACAAAAGAGGGTTTGTGATTAATTCCAACCATTAAGTCATGCTAACATGGTGACATGTCAAATCTTTAATTGCCACATTGCAGTATTAGTCTAATGGCACATTACCATGGACTAACAGTGTTAAGGTGTCAAACCTCTAATTGTTAATAGAATGAAGCATAGACCTTTTTCTGTCAAAAAAATTTCGCAAACTTGAATTAAAAAAACATGTGGCCTCAATGTAATTTTTTGTACATTCCCTTTCTATTTACAAGGTCTCAGTCATCTAATGACTATTATTGATTCCTGCCCAGTGCTTTACATTCAGTTTGTGATGTCTTTATTTAAAAGCACCATCAAATATGGAAGGCTTAGTATTAGTGAAAATTTTTATAGATGCTATAAAGTGCTGCTCAAAATGAAGGGCGAGGAAAACCCACCTCAGCCTCAGTTCCAGAGTAGTGGCATCAGATAAACGTTTACTTTTCTCCACTTAATTATGTTCAGAGCCGAATTTTAGATCAATGATCTCTGTGTAAGACCATTGTAACTCACACTATGTTTGTCTAACTCTTCTATTCTTTACTGCTACACTTGACACCATCACTCTTCTACATCGGTGCAGCCATAGATTGTACTAATTATAGATCAAAGACCAAAATATGGATAAAGAGTCCAACTTCCTTCAGTGTATATTTTCTTAACAAGTATAAATTGATTGATGTTGCTTTTCAAATGACAGGGAAGACAAAGAAAAGAGAAATGCTGAAAAGATGTAAGATTTAGTAGCAGTCCATGCAAAAAACAGGGGGATTATTGGCGGTTGCAGGCAACAGGTCAGACTCTTTCACCAATCTATCAAGTCACACATGCAATGCAACAAAATACAAGCTTATTCAAACACGCATGGGAAATCTTACTTGTGCAACAAGGGCAACCAATCGGGGATGGGATGAACTGCCATAAAATGCAACAGCAAACCTGCAATATGTTAAATGAATAAATTAAACCTTCAGCAATTGTATACTATGTGTAGAATATTGTAAAATTCCACCTTCAAATGTCCTTAGATTTCAATCAAAACAATATGAATGACCACAAGCATATTAATACTCCGAGTCAGCATGACAATTTAAAGACAGAAAAAGCTACCCAAAATACAACTGAACGTATTACAGTCTAATTATACTTTGAATCTCGAATTGCTAGAAATCTAACTTCAAGTCCAATTTGATTAAATTTCCAGTTATTAAAATAATCATTAGGCTGCTCAAATTTTTGGCTCCTTCCAAGCTCATTGCTACAATCCATCATCTTGACCATTAGTTAACTATTAGGATACAAATTCTCCTTCTGTTTTTTGTGATAAACATGGAAACAAATTCACCTTACAGTCAAAGCAACTAAATTATTCCAGAAATTTGACATAAAGAATATGTATTAAACTTTACAGAAAAATGTAGATAACTACAGTGAATACAACTACTAACAAAAAAAAATTAAATAGCTAGTACAATTCATTGAGAATGGCCCACCTACCTCCCTCCCCCTCCACCTGATCCCACCCCACAACCAACAGAAAACCGAAAATAATAATAATAATAATAATAATAATAATAATAATAATAATTGATTCACTTTTCTTTGTTGATACAGTAGCAATCATTTATGACATGGTATCTTATAAGAATTGTGAAATTCTCAACACAAAAGGAGTAAGGTACCCATAGGAAGTAGGTTCACGTGACAAGTGAAACTTGAATTTAATTTTACCTTTGAGGAAAAGTAAACTTAATTTCGCTCAGTTGTAAAAGATGTATTAAGCAGACTTTTTGTTAGTAATCCAACCCATTCAAGGTAATTAATCTGTGATTCAGAATTACTATTTTTGTGATAAAAGCTTGCTCTGCCTGCAGTGAATATAAATTCTACAACCCCATCCTTTAGTGCATAAACTGGAATTGCTCCAGGTACAAGTACACATTCCATCTAGGCATCCACACACATCGAAGAAAATGAAGGAAGGAATGAACAGTCACTAATTTCTATCATGCTTAGGGAAAAAATCCTGATTAAACCATATGAAAGATAAAATAAATTCCATATACACATGATAATATCAAAAGCATATGGACATAGTTCACATGATCATATTAAATGCATATGAAGTTCAAGGAATAATGCTCCATTCAAGTGCATAATAGCCACCAACCGTTTAAGCCGCAACATGGATCTATGCAAAGCAATGAAAATGCGAGTGCTACCAATAACTTCCTGCAATAGACAATAATCAAAAGAATCAGCCAAAATATGTTTCCAGACTAAACACACAACTCAGGATTATTAGAAAATCTGTGAAGCCAAAATTTAGTAATTCCTATATGTCATGAGCATATTAGTAGCAAACAGAAATTTGCAGTAATACTCCATAAATTGATAATATTATTCAGATTAGTCAATGAGCACAATCAATATCATAATCACCATTCCTAAGACAAACAATTAAGCTAAATTTACATCGGCTTCTAATGAATGCCTAGGATATTCTCTACAGTATTATACTCAACAAAATTACAAAAACTTTCAGATCATCCACATAAGATATGTTTGGTTCTAATGGAATAGCATCATAGATCATTCATTTCCTTTCTCATAAAAGATCTATCCATGCAATTTCTGTGATCCATTTTCTTTCTCATAAAAGATCTATCCATGCAATTTCTGTCATTGGATATGAAACCAATAAAAGCAGCAGCATTTAGAACAGGAGGTTAGATCCTAAACTACTGTTATTGGAAACAAAAAAGAGTAATGTGATAAAGACAAGTCCCAGTCATAATTTAGTTTTTCTCCACCTGAAACCCTTTAACGCCATTATAATATGAAGGAAACTTATTTGCACTTTATTGACAAAAGAAATAAAAGGAGCCAAAACTTTACAACTTTAGTACTAGTGTTAATTCTAGCCCCACCTTTCAATTGTCAAATAAATTCATAACCTTAGGTCATAGTGTGAATTGTATCATCTTCAGATAAAAACAACAGTAGCAAAGAGAAAATAGCAGCACAAAAAAACATAATCAGGCTAGATTTATTATTCAAAGAATGGTTAAAATTGACATTATTACCACTACCATTCAAGCTAAATTAACAAAATTGAGAGGTGTAGCTAAAATTGATGCAAGTAATTGAATTTTGGATTTCATGGGTCGATTGCCCTCCATCAAAGTTCTTTAATTGGTTTCTTAATAGGATGCTATCATAGAATAAATCGACACTATAAAGCAAGTCGATTTGAATATAATAATAATTAGATTGATAACCAAAAAACAGAATTTCCAAATTGGTTATTTAGGTTAGAAGAAGGGAGACAGTGGTATAAGTAGAGAATATCAAATTGTATTTCTTTAAATGTTATCATGAGGGATGAAATAGTAAAGCAACAGGCACAACATAACCATTCACAACAATTCAGAATCACAACAAACAATAAAAAATAATAATTATCTGTCAAAGCAAAGATAAAACCTAAGTGAATTGATATATGGATGCAGCACAGTACAAAAATAAGAACCAAGAAATACCTTGTCACTAGGAAATACAAATGTCGAAGGCCTCAGGTTGTGATAATCTTTTAAGTAGCTTAATGGCTTGAATCCAAGAAGATGAAGATGTCCGGTTGAAACTCTTTTTATCTGTGACAGCTCCTCCACAGAGAACTTGATATTCTCACTAAAGAATAAATTCAGTAGTTAGGTCGCAAAACACATTGTCACAAAAATACTAGATGGGAACTCTAATTCTGATTTTACTCGCCACTCTAGAGATAAATGAAGAAAGGGAACCAAGTGATCATCAATACAAAAAAGTTGAACTGAGTAACCAAAAGACTGTAAAAAATTCAATCTTTCAAGCTGCTTAATAGATTGAATCCAAGAAGATGAAAATGTCTAGTTGAAACTCTTTTTATCTCTGATAGCTCGACAGATGACTTGATATTCTCACTAAAGAGTAAATATAATAGTTAGGTTGCAAGTACCAATGCAGAACACACTTTCACAATAATACAAGATGAGAACTCTGATTTTACTCAGCTTACTCTAAAAATACAAGAAGAAAGAGAAGCAAGTGATCATCAGTACAAAAGAGTTGAATTGAGAGTATTAAAAAGATGGAAAGAATTCAATCTCAATGCACTGAAAAAAATATAGAAATAAAAAAAGAAAAAGCAAAGAAAAAGATAAGGCAACAGGTCCTTTTAATGCATATGCACAAAAACAGAGAGGAGAGAGACAATAATATAGCACAGGTTGGGGGGGTGGTTAGAACAGGTTATCTTGGTTAATTTTGGGGTTTATTAAAAGCTGTAGTGGGCAAATATGTATGGGTAACAATTAGGGTTTTTATGGGAATGGGGTAAAGAAAAAAGACAATACAAAAAGGAGGGTTAAGGAGCTGTTTTTGGAAGCATTAAAAGGCTGTGAAGTAATATGGGGAAGGATAAGTGCTTAGGCTTAGGCTTCACATCTAAACATTCTTTGGCACCACCCCCAAGATCCCATAAGCATCACTCAACTTGAATGGGGGCTGTGCTCGGCTCTTGGTACTCCCAAATTGAATTGAAAAACTGATCCAAAAAGCACTAGAACCAAAAATAAATTAATACATACTATAATTTACTATTATAGTACATTTTTAGATATTTAGGAATGATTGCACCAAAAACTGAACCAAACTGTACTAAATTATATTGAACTGAAGAACCAAATATATGTGAGTATTTTTAAGAATATTATATTACGTCAATTTTAAATATTTAATGCATACTCCTATAGTTTATGTAGAAGTTTATTTTATATATCATTCAATATATATGCTACACATAAATTTTATATACGTGGGTGTGTGTGTGGAGGCAAGGAATTGAGGAATTCCACTGAACTTAGATTTATGAAATTTTGGATAGAATAAAATGGTAACTCAGTGTACAAAACATCCCACATTGATAGGCTCCGGGGAGGGTTCCCTTGCTTTTGCAAAGAGGCGGTTTCCCATGACCTCGAGGTCATAAGTAGAATAACTTTACCATTACACCACAACCACCCACCCTCTAAATTTTGTACATAATAGCAAAAGGAAAAGAAAAAAGAAAAGGAAGTGATTCCATTTCCACTATTATTATTATATTATTACCTATTCTACCGGCAAAAATAAATGGATTTGGGATTTAATCTTTTGATGACACGAAGAAACAATATAAAGTTGATCTTTTTAGCACTTAAACTTTTTATGGATTTCTATTTTTTTTTAATCAAGTTCATATAATATAATATGGTTGAAGTACATAAGAAGGCTTATTAAACATGTAAAACATCATGTATTCCTTCTAATCTCTTTATTTTTACAGCTTATTTTAAGATTAAGAAGCAACTGTCTCTTGTATAGATTGTTTATTAGTATAATATAGATATACGATACCTTATTCTCGCAAATTACTGCATTTATCCGAGTGATCCACAAACAAAGAAAATTTCTTAGAGAAAATAATAAGAAAATGATTTCTTTTTTTTTCATTCGTATTCTTCTTTGTTAAACAAAAAAAAAAAACAAAGGAAAGAGAGAAGGGGCCGGGGGGAAGGGGAGGAGGGGGATATGAAAAAATAAAAGGATTACTCCATTCTTAATAGCTATTTCTTTAATCGGTGGGTAGGAGCTTACTCTAGATCGAAACCATAGGAAGTACTACCTGATCATTTCTACAAACTTAAAGCCCCAATTAAAATACTTTTCTATTATATATTAGGTCGAATTATCCCTTTAAATAATTTTAATAATATTTGTTACTCATCCTTCCAATATCTCGGTGCTCCTAACCATCCATTCATTTTTGCTTAATAGCTTGTTAGAATTATGGTAATACATATAAATGATACGGGAAACTCAATAAGATTAATATTTTAAGCATGCTTCAGTTAGGATGACTAATCAACCAATCTTAGGGCAAAAAGTGTTCTTTTTTTCCCTTTTTTTTTGGCAAAATTTTTACTCCAAATTTAGAAGTTGCTTTCTTTATGTGTGTGTGTGTGTGTGTGTGTGTGTGTGTGTGTGTATAGAGAGAGAAAGAGAGTCACAAATGACATAATCAATAGAATACAGACAAGCTTACTTTTTGTAACACTGAGTGAGCTTTGCAGGTTTATGCATCAATGCACCCGTATCCGCACATATGAAAGATCTTTCCGTCTGCAAATTGCTAACACATTTAAAAGTGACGTGAATAAAATAAATTTCTAATCTTGTCTTTTGTCTAATTAACTGCCATATTTTGTTATGTGGAGTTAAAAGCGATGCTAGAAATGGCAATAAGTTTAAAAAAAAATAGAATTTTTTCTCCCAAAAAATTAATAGTTAGTGTATATAGGTCCATAGAGCATTAATTGAAAAATCAACGACAACCTTAAGCCAAAAAATAGGAAGTGTATAAAAAGCCAAAAAAGAAGGAAACTTAAGGTTGAATATAACAAAAAAGAAACTAGAGAAAAGAAAAAAAAAAGGAGCTAATGCAACTCTTGCATACTCTTACTTTAAATCCCATTCTCTTGCTTTCATCGATTTTTGTCATTTGAATCATAGATGAAAACATAATTGACTTTGTATGACATAAAACCACAATTGTAAAGCTCATAACATAAAGAAAATAGGATTGTTTAGTAAAAGAAAGAAGAAACCATGTAATGATCTATTATTGATGCCTTTGCAAGATTTGTGGTGGAAATGCCAAAAGTAAAAACATGTTAAAGCTGGATGAAAAGGGATCAGCTGAGCTTGAGTGGGATATCCGATCATTAGCCATGAGCTCTAGTAAGTGCACCATAAAATAAGTGTTGAAGAAACATATGAGTATCTTGGCAAGGCTATTGTTCGTTTGTATTATTTATTGATCCACTATTATTGGTAACAACGTCAAGTTAGATGTAGCTTTTTCATGAGATGAAATGGGTGAAAATATGAGATTTGGTGGCACTCCGACATTGTTGGGAAAAAAAAAAGGGCCATGTGTGCAAGGGTGATGGCGGTGGAAGTGGTTAAAGCTAACAATTATGGTGGAAATAGTTGTAAATTCAGACCAACAGGATGCCAAAAAAATATATATATATAATATCTAATATCTGCTTAGTGCTTGCTGGAGGAAAATAAAACTTTAGAAAGTTAAGCTAAAATGTCGAAACAATCAAAAAATATAAAATAATATTATTTTGAGACATATCAACATTATGTGAATTAAAATATATTTAGTCAACATATCAGGTTTATTTGGTCCAAACATAAAAAGTTTAGTTATTAAACTGAACAAAATCAAAGAAGATCATAATTGGATAGTTGGCTAAAATAGAGTAGTAGAGGGCTCCTGAGCAAACTATAAAATAAAAGATAAAGCACCCATCTCATAAAAGCACATTTCTATGTCATATAAATAAATAAGTAGAACAACAACTATGCCTTAATCCCAAACTAGTTGGGTTGGCTATATGATCATTTGTTTCCGTTCTTCTCTGTTCATAACCCAAGTCCACATTAATCTCAAGTAGTAGATTTTTTAAGATAACTTCCCTCAATATAGTTCTAGCTCTACCTCTTCCTCATTTAGCATCCTCCACCTCCAATTACAGCATTGCTACATTTTTTTGAAAAAAAATCTATATATAACAATTGCAGGTTTTATTTGGTCCAAAACATAAAAGATGTTGAGTTTGATTAAACTGCACAAAATCAAAAAGGAAGATCAACTTGCGGAGTAGTTGGCTAAAATAGAGTAGTTAGAGGCTCGCTGAGCAAACTATAAAATAAAAGAAGTAAGCGCACCCATCTCATAAAAGCACGATTTCTATGTCATTATTAAATAAATAAGTAGAAGGCAACAAAGCTATGCCTTAATCCCAGAACTAGTTGGGTTGGCTATGATGATCATTTTTGTTTCGCGTTTCTTCTCTGTTTCATAACCCAATTCCACATTAATGCTCAGTAGTGAGATTTTTTAGAGTAAGGCTTCCCTCAAGTGATAGGTTCTTAGCTTTCTAACCTCTTCCTCATTTTAGCATCCGTCCACCTCCAATTACAGCATTGTGCTACATTTTTTGTGAAAAAAAACTATTATATATATATATATATATATATATATATATATATGATGAACTCCATCTATTAATGAATTTTTAATATGATGACTCCATCTATTAATGAATTTTTTAACTGAAAAATAGAATGCCATCAATATACTTTTAGATTGCCTTATATCTCATACTACCTTTAAAAAACATATCATACAGTGCCTTGTTAAAAGTCACTAAATGACTTCTATTTTCTTTTATGTATATAAACATGAATACACCTGAAACGTGACATACCTTTAAAGGACGATTGGTTACAGAATCAAGCCATGTAATTGGCCCTGAGAAACAAAGTTTCAAACACAAACACACTTATCAAGCATTACAAGGTGACATGCTCATGATAGTAAGAAAAAAAGCAAGCAAGAGTACCCTGTGTAGTTGGACGTATCAAAGCATATGTACTCAGGTTAATTGACAACCCATTTGCAATTAACAAGGTAATTTTTCTTACTATGCGCTTTGTAAACATTCGTTTTCTCAGCTGATCTTTCATATCTTCCAATCTGAATGAATATAATTATTGACATAAAAAGGAAAATATAAAGAGCATGCAAAATTAAAACATTAAGATTTCCAGCATCATTTATTGGTGTCAATATCAAGTTCTATATCATATCCTTCACTAGAGGATAAGATGAAATTATCTAATTCCAAGAAACCTGAAAAACAAACAGTTCATTTGAAATTTTGATAAATCCTATCAAAGACTCGAGGTACAGATCAAGATGGCCTTCAGCTCTTAATCATTGGATGGATATACCATGAAGCATGAGATGGAATAAAATGATGACCCTTAAGGATTTGTAGAATTAAAGTATTTGCTTCATGACAAGGTTCTTTAATGTGTTTATCACACGAATGTTCTCAACAAATGCCGAAGTCAGATTCTGCAAGATATGTCCCTTCATGTACAATGAGACCTTCAGGGTACAAAATTAGTGCAAATGCCACGCGAACAGATAATCCATTCCTTTTGATTTATTCCTATCACCGTGTTGCATCTCAAAATGCAAACACAAACAAGAGCCTTTCAGTTTTCTATAACAAAACCTCGATATATACAATTATAGAGTCTGGATTCCATGTTTAGACAGCAGCTATGATTTAAATTTTCCTTAGCCAACAACCATGTTTTGAGTCCAATTTTGCACTCCAGGTATAGACAACAACCGCAATTAGAAATTTACATAATGGCTGAAAAAGTAATCACCAGCTATTACAAGATATAGCAGTGTGTCTCCTACATTGTCGACAATGACAATGCCTATTATACTTTAGAACAGCAGAACTTTCAACATTGTTTTACAAATTTTAACAAATGAACAATTGTATATTGACCTAAATCTCTGTTGCACGTTTGAATTTTCTCATTTTATTACAAACTTTATTGTAAAGTAGTTATACTACTTTATGAATGGGTTTATTTCCCAGACCATCCAATTTTCTGCTAAATGCATCCTATCTCTTCATAGCTTTATAGTCAGTAAATTCCTATAATGTCCCTTTCAATTTCACTGAATAAACAATTTTAAATCTCAAAAGTGAAAACATCGTGAAAACTAGGAATTAGATAATATATTGTGATAATCTTGGCAATTGAAAATAACACTAAAAAGAAAAAAAGAATTGCATACTTTTGTCCTGCCAAGGGCATAAATTGATCAACATCATCACCTCCCAATCCAATCAATTCCTGAAACATATAAGATTTTGTATCAAATTATCCCAATTTAATGACCATAAGTCTGTTAAGAAACCAAATGTACATATAGAGATCAATCAAGTGGTCAACTGGAGCAGGTATGGACATACAGCATAGAAGAGTGAAACATTGAACTCCTCATCAGGCCGGCTTAAGGGGAGAAGTTCGATTGAAATGCCAAGGTCTTGTGCATCCTGAAAATCCCCCCTCCCCCCCAAGAATATCCAATTATGGAATTTTTCAGGAAAATGTGTTCTTACGAAGACCAATGAAATAAAAGTAATTCCAGTCAAAAATTTATACAAAATAACATGCCTTAGCTCGCTGCAATGTGGTTCTTGTCATATCTGTTTTTGCTGCACCCTTCATACTCCCAAAAGGATCATCTTCATTTGTAAACAAGAGTATCCGCTTATCAGCAGTTTTTGCAGATCTGAGATAGTTTTTTCACTTAACATAAGCAAACACAGCATATACGGAAATCTAGAAGAACAAAAAGAAAACTTCACTATAGTTAAGCACAAAAAAAAGAATGAAATGGTGAAATTAAGGTTTACCCTTTACGCAAAATTGCTTGTGCTACCCAAAGGGCATTGTAAAGGGAATTCTCCCGAGACCCAGACACAATGCCATACTGACTGCCAATTTCTTTCAAAAATGATTCTGCAGAAAACTAGTGGAGAATAAGTGAGGACTTGTAAATAAAATATACATTCATCGAAAAGTAAGTAGAACAAACCTAAAACTCCTCTTATTGTGAGACCTAACAAGGAACAAGGCTTCTGGAGATACAGAAACAATTTACACTACAACAACTTCGAGTAATTGGTACCATCAATGTCAATTAATGGACATGGCTTGCATGACAAGCAGAGAAGAAAACAATTAAACTAAAGATCAAATGGATAATGATTGATAAAAACTCAACTTTCAGTGAATGTCAAGTTTATCTAATTTTTTGGATGTTATCAAATTTCTCCCAAATGTTATAACTGGTTGCAGTCATATATAGAAATAGACATTTCATTCTCTTCATTAGGAATAGGAATTATATACCACACTTTACAATTGGGTATGCATATAAAGAATTCCAAGTTTATCTAATCAATAGCAATGCTGCTCTTCTCTCACTGCCATTTTATTATGCCAATTCCAGAACTAGCTCAATATAAACACATAAATCTTGGCAAGAGTTTTTCCCTTACATACAATTGAAACTGATTATTGATTATAGCATCCATATGAATTTGATAAAAATAAAGCCAAAAGACGAAGTTCACGAACATTGGAAGTATTAACCATAACTAAATTTAAAATAAGAAAACCATATCCCTCAGTAAAGAAATACAGATTATAATCCCTCTATCACAGTTTTAGCAAATGAGAATAAGAGAGAGAGAAAGAAACCCCTACCCTCTATGCAGTCAAAATCTTTTATAAGCCTAGCAGTTGGTCTGTCCAGATACTCTCTTTCAGCAACATTAAATACAAAGACACCACTTAGATCCTGCAAATTCCTCTTTTGCCTCTGCAATAATTCATAAAATAATGATGAACTAAATCATAGAGCAACTTAATGCCACAGCTTAGAATACTGGGTTAATGCTCAACAAGCCAAATCTGGACATTAAAAAAGAAAAGACTATGAACAGAAACATCCCAAGAATAATATTTGAGAAAGAATGTAAAGGCTCTAAAGACAACACTCATAAAATAAATCAATCTACAATAATTTGCAAGCATGGAAGTATCCAAAGAAACATGAAATTCCAGCCATCGGATAAACAACTTACAGTCTATCTCAAAATAAATAAATAAATAAAAGATAGAAAAAAAAGAAAAAAGATAAACAGCTTACAGTGTTGAAAAAGACGATTGCAACTTCATCATATGATCTGTTAATGATTTGAGTCTTCAAAGACTGTGAAATACAACTCACAGCAATGTGGAAATGAGTTTCTTCCTTTTGGTCTTCCTGCCAACATTAGAAAAAAGCAAGAAATGTCAAATTCACCCATCCTAAAAGCAAATAATAGCAATGTACAGCATATGAAAAGTAACCAATCATACATAGCACCAATAGAAGGTGCCGATCTAATAGTTTTATCCTTTCTTTCACAGCAATCCAAATAATCAAAACTGGGTATCAGAGAGGAGAAAAAACATCAATTTACTTAGTAAAGCATCATATAGGCAGCTAAAAAGCTCAAGCGTTACTCTCATTTCTATTCAATATGGTACCATTTCATAAGCTAGAGATGATATTATAGTGAATCCTATAACCAGCAAGATGGCTATAATTATTCCATCACCAGGAAGAATATGTTTATAGGTTATAATGGAATTCAAAATAATGTAATCAATTGAATTTTTACTTTCCATTACATCATAAAAAAGAAAGCCTGAGTTACATTGAAAAAAAAAAAAAAAAAAAAGCCTCAAAGCCTAGTTCGGCATATAAGATCACATTACAGTTCGTGACTAACTTCAAGAATCAACATAAGATGAGTACACAAATAGTAAGGATAGAAAAAAACAGTAAAGATATTATGATTAAACTAGCTTACAGTGTCATATAAAATGAGGATTTTGACTAACTTCATCATATGTATCTGTCATGTATTTGTAGGTCTTCACAAGACTGTGAAATTTCACACTCAGCACAGATGTGGTATTAATGTAGTCTATTCCTTTTGATTACTTTCCTGCCCAATCATATAATATATAGCAGCAAGAGAATGTATTAAATTCACCCATACCTAAAAGGCAAATAATTAGCAATGTAACAGGCATATGAAAAGGTAACGCAATCATACATACACCAATAGAACGGTGCGATCTAAGTAGTTTTATCCTTTCCTTTCACAGCATATGCCAAAATTAATCAAAACTTGGGTATCAAGAGAGGAGAAAAAAACATCATTTACTTAGTAAGCACATATAGGCAGCTAAAAGGCTCAAGCGTTACTCTCATTTCTATTCCAATATGGGTGACCTATTTCATAAGCTAGAGATGATATATATAGTGAATCCTATAACAGCCAGATGGCTATAATTAATTTCCATGACCAAGGGAAGAATATGTTTATAGGATTATAATGGAATTCAAATAATGTAATCAATGAATTTTTTACTTTCCATTAATTCATAAAAAAGAAAAGCTGAGTTAGCATTGAAAATATAAAAAAAAAAAAAAAAAAAAAAAAAAAAAGCCTCAAAGCAATGCACCACAGCTTCAAGTCAAGGAATAACGAATAAGCATTCTAATGAACAACTTTAGTTGATTAGCCATCAACTGGCAACGGCAATTGAGTCTTTCATCAACGTTTTAGTAAATTAAACAATTCAATTGAATTAATTACTACAACAACAGTTTTAAAAGAGAATAAAATAAACTATACTAGGAAGGAAGACAAAGAGAGGGAAACTGACGCCAGGGCAAGTCGTGCTAAACATTTTGGGAGAAGCATCGACGAGGTAGACCACAAACTCTTTGGAGGTTTCCCTTTGCTGCAAAGTTAAGATAGCAAATTAATTAACGGCATCTTCTAATTTACAAAAGAAGTGAAAAAATACCTGATAAAACTCAGAATCGGAGTCGTCTTCCTCGTCTTTGAAGATGTCGTCAGGGTCCAACTCCATTATCGAGAGTGAAGAGGGAGAGAAACTAAGTTATTCACTCGAGACAGAGAGAGACAGATAAAGAGGGAGAGAAGTACCGTTCTGAGTTTCTCGCTAGTCCACCCGCCTCATTATTTAAAAAACTGGAAGACTGAAATTTTGTTAATAAAAAGTGTCAAGGAAGCTAACTGAAGCGGTGGACTGGGGATAGACATAGGCACCGGTTCATTTTGAATCAGAATGCCATTGGATTCGAACTGTATTGTAAATGAATTTAAATTAAATTAGAATCATCAGTTCAAAATTTTGAAACGAAATTCACGATTTAAAGGTGAGTTAAGGTTCATGTAAATGCTAAAATTTGAATCTAAACCAGTCTTCAACCGGCAGTTAACTGGCGGTTCTGATCCGGTTCGAACCGAAAATTTTCTATTTTATTTTTAAAATGATAATCACTTAACATATTTTATACATCTCTAAAAGTCTCAATATTTTTTAAAATGATAATCACTTCCGGTTCGAACCGAAAATTTTCTATTTTATTTTTAAAATGATAATCACTTAACATATTTTATACATCTCTAAAAGTCTCAATAATATTTTATTATATGATATACTTTACTTAAGATTTTCTTTTTAAAAAATACACTTTAGTTTAAAAGTTAAAAATCTAAAAAGTAAAATGGTAAAAAAAGAGAAAAATATTTAGTCTAAACTTATATTGTTTTTAACTTTTTTTTTCCCTTCTAAATTGTTTACTAAGTTTAAAATTACATTCTTTTGAAGCATTTTTCAAAATTTTCTTATTAATTAATAACATTTAAATAAAATAAAGTGATAATTTATTTGATTATTTTGCAAAATTAATTAATTTTATTCTTATATGAGTATGAGCATTCTAAAATTTATTTAAAATAACATTTACCAATACTTTTTAAGCACATATTAATGTCATCGAAAGAAGGATGTAACATTAAAATCGATTTTTTAAAAAAAAAAACATATATCGCTAGAAACCGTGATCGGAATCGTCGGTTAATCAGAACAAAATCGGCGGTTCAAGAGCCGGTTCAGGTTAAATATTTTAAAATTTTTGAACCGGCGGTTCAATGAACCAGCTATGTCTAGCTGGGGGCATTCATCAAACTGCATAAACTGCTACAATCAATCTAAAATCTAGTTTTAAATTTATATTGGACACTAAATTATAAGATTAGTTTATATTGGATAATAATTGAACCATCATTTCTTATTAATTAGATAAATTATATAATTATTCAAGCTAAGCTTGGTGCAATTAAAAATTTTTCTCCACAAATCTACACATTATTAGTACATAAATTCATAAATTATGCACCTCTTATGCATCAGCAATGGCTAGTACTACATTATTAAATTCATAAATTACGAATGGCCCAATACGTAACTTTTGAGATAAACTTACTGTGTCCCTAAAATTATGGATTTCAATAATATTGCATAAATTTTCACGTTAACAATAACAATTTTTTAGAGTTTTTAACTTTTATATGTAAAATAATCTTGATTTGATATGTGGTTAATATAACTTTTGCAATAATAATTTTTACACTCTTTAACCATCTATAAGTATTTAATTTGTTTAATTTTACAAGTTAAAGTGTTCAATAAAACGATTTTGCAAATTTAAGTGTTTAATAAGTGTAATTTTATGAGTTGAAGTATTTTGATATGTCAAAATAGAAGTCGATAGTACCACAAAATTAAAGCAACAAAGCTCAAGGGTGCAATCATGTGTTCAACCATTAGATTTTTTTTTTTTTTTTTTTTTTTTTTTTTCAACCATATTAGAATTTTTTTTTTTTTTTTTTTTTTTTTCTTTTGAGAGAATAACCATTTTAGTAATATGAGTCATTATGTTTATAATGCAATTTTCTTAAGTTGCATTGGGCACTGGGGTACTAGGGTCTGGGTAGATCTAAAGGGCCATCGATTGCCCGTAATAAACATAAAAACAATTGCTTATTGATTATTCAAGGCCATTAATTTTTTTTTTTTTTTTTTTTTTTTTGAGAATAACCATTAGATAATATGAGTCATATGTTATAATGCAATTTCTTAAGTTGGACTGGTACTAGGGTCTGGGTAGATCTAAGGCCATCGATGCCCGTAATAAACATAAAACAATGTTTATTGATTATTCAAGGCCATTAAAGATATCTATAGGCAGGTTCGATATGAAAGTTTACGTGTGTTCTCCCCTTGTAGGAATTAGGGTTCTCTCTCTTTAAGAATTAGGGTTCCTGCTGACCGCGATCTTGGCTCTCTCGTCACGAGACTTCTGTCATCTTTTCCTTTTGCTTGGTTTCTGGTCACTCGTTTCTACCTGTTTTTCCCATTTGTTACTGTGTAACCTCCTTCTACTCTATTCTTTTCCTACGTTTTCTCTTATCTCTTTTAACTTACGTCGTTTATCTCTTTTGTTTCCATAGTATTGTTTTCCTTTCACTCCTCTAGTCTAGTTAATCTTTATTTTCTCTCACTTTTCTCACTTTGCTAACGGTGTATTTTTGGCTGTCTTTGTTTCAGAGTTCTATCATTAGTGCACTACGTCTACATCCAAATTGTGAAGCAGGTGGGTTTGATTATGAGTTCCGAAAATATTGGCCATGGATTACTGCTTCAAGAGGAGGTTTTACAGATACCATCTAAGACGATGGATGATGGTGGGGACCTAATACAGCTTTATTTGGTAGTTAAACTCTAGGCATACCGACCCTATAATAAGTATGCTCTCATGGACATGATGACTAGAGTTTGGAAACCGAAGCATGGAATAGAGGCTCGTGAATGGAATAAGGAGATATTCTATTTCAATTTAATCATTGGCAAGATAGACTGTTTGTTATTGACAACCCCCTTGCATTTTGAAAAGAGTTTGCTTGTCCTTAAAGAAGTAATTGGCACTGAACAACCTTCATCCCTTGTGATGCACACTACTAATTTGTGGGTTAGGGTTTTTGACCTTCTGCTTCGTTCTATGAAAAGATCCATAATTGAACTCATAGGAAATAAATTGGAAAGCTTTATAGCATAGTCTGATGAGAAGTCCCAAGGATGGGGGAAAGTTTATCCAGTTTCAGGTTCTAGTGGATTTACGCTATCCGTTGATGAGATCTTTGCCCATTAGTTTTAAGAATCGTGGTTTGATAATCCTTTTAAAATACGAGGGCCTGCCTAATTTTTGCTACTTATGTGGGTGCTGTGGACACTCTTTCAAGCAGTGTGAGGAGACTGCGTATGAGGAGGGCTCTTATGAAGACCATCTTTATGACTCTTGATGATAGTCTTCATGCCTCACCTTTTCATAATCCTAGTGGAGGTATAGCTGATGGGTCGGCTCGACGTCAACTTTTTCCTAAAGCCCAAGCTAAAGTTGTGAAGGTGCACCCTATTAATTAGGTTGATTCTGCTGATGTTATAAGAAGTCCTTCGCTTGTTGGTGGTATTGCTCAGGATCACCTTCCTTATAAGTAAACTTAGGCCTTGCTTGGAACCAACATAATAGACCAATGGTAATGGGGGTTCTCAAACAGAAGGGATTCTTAGGCTCTTATAGCAACTTACAGTGCAGGTTCAACAAGATGAAAAATTTAATGAGGTAGAAGAGGCTTTGTTTCAACAATTAATGAAGGGATCCAGGGGCTTTTACTCATCCCATCCAGGTACACCAATTTCACTCCCTATTTATGATGAAATATCTGTCATTTCCTTAACCCCTACCTTATCCAGAATGTCCAAACAATCCTTTATTATAAAATATTACCCCTTTGCCAGTCTATAACCCGTTGCTTGACCTGTTAAGTGCTTCCACCCATCCCCCTATCCTTACTAACACACCTGCGAGCTCTAGTCCATCATCAGCTCTCCCTCTGGCTGCTACGAGCCCATCTCCAAACCTGCCTCTCCCAGACACTCTTTCATTTATTTGTTCAGTTACTAGCCATAACACAAAACCTTTTTCCTGAAAACCCAAGAATAGTATGGTTAGCTCCAGTGTCTCTTCCCCGCCTTGTCTTGCTTTGAGACCTGCCCACAAAATTAACCTACATCCTTCTAGACCTAGTACCAACTTAAAGTCTCCCTCTATTGTTCTTCCCCTAACCCCACCTTCCCCCAAAACTAGGAGCTCCTGGAAATGTTCCCACTCTGAAAATGATATGTCCCCTTTGCATGGTCTTGCAGTCCGATTGGGAGGTAAGAGAGAGGAAAATGTGGAGGATAATGGTGGTGGTGCTGATATGGATATTGATTCGGATAGTAAAAAGCAATATGCAGATAATGGTGTAGGTGAATTTTATGATTTAATGGCGGTTACTGCGGAGCAGTCCCGCCGATTGTAATGAGTCCCCTATCCTAGAACTACAGAGGGCTCGGGAACTAGGATACAATTTAGAATTTGAAAAAGCTTCTAAAGCGGCAAGATCTCGAGTTGGTGCTCCTTATGGAGATGAAACTAGTGGCAATGAAATTGAGGATTTATGCAAAAAAATGTGACTATAATAATTTTTTGTTTGTGTCATATGATACGGAGGTTGGAAGAAAAGGGGAGGAAGCTATTTTTTGGTCTAATTGAATTTCTGTTAGTTTACTCTCCTCATCCTTACATCATATGGTGTTATTATAGATGATCACTGGTGGTTCACAGATTCTATGGGTGGCTAGAGGACCAGGAAAAACATTTGTCATGGGCTCTCTTGGATAAGCTCCATTTTGATTCGAATCTCCCCTGGCTTTATGGTGGGGATTTTAACGAGATCCTATACCATTATGAGAAGATGGGAGGCAATCTGAAAAAATCAAAAAAAGCTGGATAATTTTCATGCTATGTTCGTTAATTGCCGTTTAATGGATTTAGGTTTTATGGGATGCAATTTCATGTGATCAAATGGACAAGGTATTCAAATTAGAGTTGAGGAGAGGCTCGACTGTTTTGTTGCTAATGTCAAATAGATATAGATTTTTCTAGATTATTTGCTCAATCATCTTTTAGGCAAGGGTCTAACTATTGTCCTTTGCTTTTGGTCTTGTCTAAATCGAATGTTAAAAGGGGTAAGAGGAGACGACCTTTTAGATTTGAATATATGTTGTTAAAAGATGATTCATGTAAGGATCAAG